AGGGCGATGATGTTGTTGGTCTTCGGTGGTTTGGACCACAAAGAGCAGCTAGGAATCCTGAGCTCAGTGAACAACGAGTACGACTTCAAGAAAATCGCCCATGCCCTCAGGATACAGTTCCCAAGCTGCAACGGGAAGCCCGTCTACAGGCGTGACTACCTGGCCTGCGGTCGATCATCCGGCCCTCCGAGCCCTGCTAAGCCCCGCTTCCGTGTGCCGGGCAAGGGCCACGCCAAGGGGAAACCGTACATCCTCGCGGTCGAGCAGGACCAGGAGCCCTATGACGAGGACTTCGACGCCTACTACGAGGACCCCGGCAACGACGAGACGGGCAACCAGGAGGACAACGACAACCAGGACGAGGACCTTCTTGAGGCCATGGTTCAAGAGTTCGATCCCTCGGAGGACCCGGGGCTTGCCGAGGCCCTGGCTGTTGTCATGCAGAGAAAGAAGAAGCCGCTTTCAGCGCCGCCGGGCCCCTCCTCACAGAGCTTCCCCTTCAAGGCCCACGGCGAGATGAGCATTGACAAGGCCCGTGAGTCTCGCAAGAACGCGGTGAAGTTCCTCAAGCAAGTGACGCCGTGCACGGCGTGCGGAAAGCGTGGCCACTGGCAAGGGGACAGCGAATGCGAGAAGTCGAAGGGAGCCGGGAAGGGAAAGAGGGGAGCCAGCAGCCCTAAGAAGAAGGCGACCGGCTTCCCCAAGAAGGGCACCACCACCTACTTTGTCCTCCAGGACGACGCCGGGGACAACGTGGAGGGCGAGGCCTACTACACGATTCCCGCCGGCACCGAGGATAAGAACGAGGCGGCGCCCGCGAGGACCTTCGAGAGCAAGCTCGCGGGGACCGCCGTTTCCGAGAGCCTCGTTGCCCTTCACAACACCGACCTTTGCCACCACGCAAGCGGCAACGGCGGCGACGAGCGGCAGTTCTTCAGGGCAGCAAACGCCCACACAAGAACGGTGACCTGCAAGGAAGACGAGTGCGACAAGACAATCATTTCGGCAAAGAGGAAGCAGCCGCGCCAGCTGTGGAGCTGGCTGGTCCAGATCGCCCTCTACACCAAGTGGGGTGCCAAGGCTAGGCTGCGCGAGGCCTACCACCGCATGACCGCCGCCAAGGAAGAGATGATGACCCGCAAGCTGCAAGACGACCGCCGTGCAGAGGAACTTCGCTGCCTTACCCACGGCTATCCTGATCCGTCCCGGGCTTCTTCCTCGGATTCGCCCTCACCTTGGCAGCTTGTTTCTCCAGCAACACCGCCCGGGACAAGGACAGTGGCAAGGATCTTGCGGCCAGGCCACCGGGACAAGAAGGCCTGGGTCTATGGAGTTTGCGTCTCCCCCTTCGTGCCTCTGCCGCCTCTGCCTGACCTCTCCGACGAGGACATGGATATAATGCGGCCTCTCCCCGGTGATGCTTCCATCTTGGGCCCTGAGACACCATTCGCCGGAATGACCTATGAGCAGGTCGCCTCGTCTAAGGAGGCTGCCTGGTACTGCCAACAGGTGGTTCAGTTCGCCACCGGCAACTACCCGATGCAACCTGAAGTATATCGGTTCGCCTTCTACCTCTACGCCCGGCTGAAGATGATAAAGATGTCCGTGGACCAGGCCGAGGCACCAGCCGACAGCCGCGCGGAAAAGAGGACAATGAACCAGGGCGAAATGATCTCCCGGAGGACTCTTCGCGTGCCCGTGTCCTTCGACCCCTCGAGGCCCGACACTGCCGCCGAGCAAGACTGCGAGGTCATGATGACAGAGGAGCCGGAAGCCGGTCCAGAGCTCACTGCCGAGGCCTTTGCTGTATCCAACGAGGACCCGCCTGGGATGGCCGTGCTTGATTCGGGCTGCACCAAAACTATGCACGGCACGGGCTGGGCGAGCCAGTTCGAAGATGAGCTAGGCAAGCTCGGCCTGGGCGCCACGGTGCGCGGGAGAACTCAGACCTTCCGAGGCGTCGGCGGCCAGGTCACCAGCCACATCGAGAAGATTTTTCCCGCCGGCATCAACAAGGTCCACGGCACGATCCACAGCAGCGAGTGCCCGGGAAACCTTCCCTTGCTCATCTCGAGACCCTTCATGGAGGAGCTCGGCACGGTGATCAACATCGGCGAGGGAACGGTTTCCTTTACAAACCTCGGCGTGCACCACATGCCGCTGCTGAGGACGGCAAAGGGGCACCTTGAGGTTAGCCTCCTCGACTTCGACCCAGACCACCTCAACGACTACCTCGACGAAGCCCTGGAATATCCGGAGAACAACCCCACTACCGATGCTCCGGAAGAAGACTATGAAGGTTGCCACCCACCTGAAGTACCCGAAGGTTGGCAGCCCGATGACTGGGAAGAGCATGTGGAGTTCCTTGACCACCTGCGCCAGGACGTCGAGAATTGGGAAAAGGAGCTCGAAGCCCGAACCACCGAGAGCAACCAGGACTACCGCGACGGCGACGTGGTCGAGGACGCGAACTTCTTCGAGGATTCGTCCAACCTCACCCCTGCGACAAAGAGGAGGACCAGCGCGAAGAAGGGCAAGAAGCTGCTCTCCATGGTCAAGGCGGTCGAAGGCGACGACAGGCACTACCAACTTACGCTTTCCGGGCAACGCAAGGTGAGCAACCGCCCCCCCTTTGGCAAGGTGTGGGCGAAAGAGCTCTTCCCAACGAGCCTAAAATTCGCCACTCTCTGTGTCGTCATGGGCATGTCCGTTGGAGTCCCCCTTGGCTGGGGAACAACCGGCTGGAACGCGGCAACCTCGGCCGGAAGGAGGTGGCTGCACCACGACATGAAGATCGAGGACCCCTACGTGACGCTGATTCACTGGCCTCGGCAAGACGAAGGTGGCCCCTGGCTCCTGGCCGGGAAGGACGGCACAGCGAGGGCGGATGTCGAGGGCAACTTCGGAGAGGGACTCGCAAAAGTCCTAGGAATGGTCACCAAACTGGTCAAGGGAACGTATCTCTGCGAGGCGCCACGTGATCATTGAGGAGCCCCCTGACAAGGACTGGCTGGATGGCCCAGAGACCGAGCACCTGCGGGACATGGTTCGGCGTGGTGCTCTTCTTCGGGTGAACTTTTGTCCTTGTGCCGAAGGAGGTCCCTGTTGCCCAACGACCCTGCTTACGACTATGTTGGCTGCCGAATCGACCTTCTCTACCACGACCTGCTCCTGCGCGGCAAGCCCTTCGGAGGCCAATGAAGTGTGGGACAAAGGGCTCTCAGAGAAGCTGCGCGAGGCTGTGGTACAGCAAGCAGCCGCCGAAGAAGCCATCGCGATGGAGATCCATGAGGCTTACACCTCCGAGGGCCAGGGCCAGGGCCAGCCAAAACGAAGGAGACGGGGTCCAGTACTCATCGACCAGTTCGACGCGCCCCCCGTCTACATTCGACCTGACGAACCTATGCAACCAGCTTCCCGAAGACGCTGATGAGCGAACTCTTGCCGAGCTTCTTTCTCCAGAGCTACGTGATTCACTACCACCGCCCCTTCGAGCCAGCCCTGGGGATCACGCAAGCCAAAGGGCAATCGAAGCAGCCAAGTTGGATCCCATCCTGAGCGTGACGGAGGCCGATCGTCGCAAATACTGGCTCCGGGTGGACCCTGACCTGAGGAAATGCCTCCGAGACCTCCACGTGAACTTCGGACACCCAACAAACGTCACCTTGCAGCGGCTTCTCCGAAGGCAAGGTGCGAGGCCAGAAGCGATTCGAGCTGTTGATTTTATGTCCTGCGACTCCTGTGGAGAGACTCACCGGAGGAAGCGGCCAAAGCCAGTGCGACTCCCGAACAAGTACATCTTCAACAACCACCTCCAGATAGATGTCTTTTACGCCAAGGACATTAAAGGCCAGCTGTTCGGCTTCCTCAACGTGGTCTGCGATGCCACAGGGTTTCAAGTTGTGAGCTGTTTGGGAAGCAACCAAGGGCCTCCCTCTACCAAGGCCGTTCTGCGCCACTTCCTCACCGCTTGGTCATCGTGGGCCGGCCTCCCGAACTCGATTCAGGTGGACCGCGGGAAGGAGTACCTTGCGCATTTCTCTGACTACCTCAAGGCCTACGGTGTGGAACAGGAGGCGATGGCCTTGGAAGCCCCCTGGAAGCTGGGTCGCGCAGAGAAGGGCGGCGGCCTGTGGAAGGAAGTTTTCCAGAAGGTGGTTCATGACCAACAGGTGGCCGGGCTGGAAGACGTGGTCACTGCCACCGCCATCGTGACCCAGACCCGGAACGCCTTCCCGAGAACGTCCGGTTACGCGCCAAACTCTTGGGTTTTGGGACAGCCCGAGGTGAGACTTCCAGGCAGCCTTCTACTTGACAACGAGAGAGAACGCTTAGAGGTACTTGAGGGTGCTGAGGACCCACGGTCGGCCATGGCCAGGACGCTGAACTTGCGTGAGTCCGCGAAAGTGGCGCAGATCAAGCTGGACACCGACGGCCGTGTTAGGAGAGCACTTTTGCACCAGAGCACGCCCACTCGAGGTCCGTACCCCGTGGGGAGCTACGTCTACTTCTTTCGTGCACAAGCACCACCTGGGACAGGGAGAACCTATCGCTGGCATGGACCCGCGAGAGTTATCGGCGTTGAGCTTCGGAACTCGAGGCGAACTGAAGACCAGGACCTCCCAACAGCAGGCGGGCAACCACACAGTTACTGGCTGCGATACGGGGCAAGTGTTATCCTGGTCACAGGCGAGCAGCTGCGTTTTGCCAGTGAAGATGAGCTGCTCGCGGCGCACATGGTGCCACAGGAGATCCTTGAGCCGCCCTACGCACGAGGCGCGAGGAACTTTGTTGACTTGAGAGCTCAGCCTATGTTGCCGGCGGCCCCTGAGCACGAAGAGGCCCCTGCACCTTTGACGTCACCACGCACTCGGCCGGCATCTTCCTCACCGATGCCTACCACGTCGTCGGCGCCTTCGGTGACGATACCCGGTACAGCCATTCAGATACTACCTGAGTTTCTTCCTCCCGTTCCCGAAGATGATGATGGAGGGCTACTTGACGAAATTGGCCAAGCAACCCCTCGAGAATCTCAGCAAAATCCAAGGACGGGTGGGGATCAAGACAACCAGACTATAGAGTCAGGTCAAGCAACCCATCGAGAATCAAAGCAAAATCCAAGGACGGGTGGGGCACATGATTTAGCTATGTCACGACAGGCATCTACGGTGACTTCCGAACCGGAGCCGCAGCCTACAACACAGGTGGTTCCAGTTCAGGCTCCAGCTGCAGTTCAAGGACAGTCCCCGTTGAGTCGACCAAATATTTTTGCTGACCTCAACCGTCTTGATGGGTATGCCCCGAACCGCACGGCACGTGAGCCAGTCCAAGGACCCTACATGGTCGAGCCCGGCGACTGGGACTGCCCCACTTTGCCACACACAGTACGCGAAGCCAATCTAAGGAGAATGGCTGGCTACTTCGATGAGTTCGACAACGGCTCGGAGGAAGAAGAGACCGTAGACTACACTGCCCAGGACCCCGCCGACGTGCTGCTCACCGGAAAGGCCGTGAAGTCCGAGATCAAGCTCGAGGACCTTGGCCCAGACGAGCGGAAGAAGTTCGAAGGTTCCATGGCAAAGGAGTGGAGCTCTTGGCAGCTCTTCGAGGCAGCGGACAAGCTCACGCCTGAGCAGAGGAAAGAGCTGCCCGATGACGTGCAGATCATCGGCACCAGATGGGTGCACACTGACAAGAACGCAAAGCCAAGGATGCTCGCCAACTACCTCCGGAAAAGGACGGGCAAAACCAAGGAGCAGATCAACAAGGAGTTTCCCTTTGAGCCAAAGTCCCGGATAGTGGTCCAAGGTTGCCAGGAGGACCCCACCGGGATAAGGAGCGACAGCCCTACAGCATCCCTGTTGGCCTTCAACCTGGTGTGTGCCATCTCGGTCCTGAAGCGCTGGACCATTACAGCTTGCGATGCCTCAACGGCTTACCTTCAGTCCAAGGGCATCAGCAGAACCTTGATTCTACGACCACCTCGACCACCACCTCCTGGCATCTCCCCTCACGATCTACTACGAGCTCGCGGAAGCATCTACGGAACAAAGGACGCAGGGAGAGCCTGGTGGAAGAAGCTGTACAAGACGCTCAAAAGGCACTCTTGGTTGATGTCTCGCATCGAGGCTGCCCTCTTCTACCTTGTCGAAGGCGGCCGGCTGATCGGTGTCATGATCAGCCACGTGGATGACCTCTACTGCACCGGCGAAGGCGAACGCTACGAGACCACGCTGAACGAACTCGAGAAGGAGCTGCACTTGAAGATCAAGAGAAGCGAATTCAGGTTCTGTGGAAAGAACGTGAAACAAACCAACGGCGCCATCGAGCTGGACCAGTACGACGCCATCGAGGGAGTGGACTACATGTTGTTTTCCCCGGCACGACGCAAAGAGGTCAATGCCCCGCTGACCGAAGAGGAGAAGTCTCAGTTCAGAGGTTTGATCGGCCAGATGGGCTGGATCACAAGGCAGAGCAGGCCCGACCTCATGGTGAACGTGAGCCTGGCCTCCCAGACCATGGGCTCCCCAAAGGTCAAGGACGTGATCAACCTCAACAAGGCCGTGAAGATGCTAAAGGAGACCTCGGATGCGAAGTGGAGATTCGTACCATCCGACATGACCCTCGAGAATGCCCGCGTCTTCTGCTTCGCAGACAGCAGCTTCGCGAACACAGAGTCTCTGAAGTCGCAGTGCGGCTACCTCGTGGGCCTCACCACCGAGGCCATGGACTCCGAGAACGACGCCCCGATCCTCATCCTCGAGACTTACTCTGGAAGCATAAAACGAGTGTGCAGGAGCACCCTTGCCGCAGAAGCCAACGGCCTACTTGCTGGAGTGGAGGCCGCGGAGTACCTGCAGATGCTCATGGAGGAGATTATGTACCCCGAGGAGAGGCTCGTGGACATCAGCCGGGAGTTCGCCAAGGAGAAGGTGCTGTGCTACACAGACGCTAAGAGCCTCGAAGCAGCTCTGAACAAGGATGCCGGCCAGAGCCAAGACAAGAGGGTTCGCATCCTACTGGCGCAGATCCGCGA